AAAATTTATAAATAAATAGATGTAAAAAAGTCAAATAAATAAAATAAAAGTTGTAATATATTTATTGTTTACTATTTATAATATAAATAATTATTATTATAACAATTCTAAAAAATAAACTATTTTTTCATAATTTTTCATTGACTAATAACAAAATTTTCCAAAAAAAAGAAAACCTTTTCAAAACAGATCAAATTTGAGTAAAAAAAATGACTTAAATTCCCACGGTCGAACTGTTCCTCCAGAAACTTCTTTTGTTATATTTCTTTTTCTTCTTTCTTTTTACTGTACTCGAAGTGTCATTCTTCGTGGGTTTTTCTTTTTTTTCTTGTTTTTTTTTTTTTTTTTTTTTTTTTTTTTTAAATTGGATTCACGGTCAGCAAAAGCTACTGCGGGAACGAGTTTGCAAAGTGAGAGAGGCGAATATATATCCCACGGGGAAAAAAAAAGATTGCACAATGAGCAGAAACCGTTAAATTTGTTATTTTTTCAAAACTTGACCAAATTAGAACGGAAAAATTAAAAGGTTTTCATGGGAAGAATGAAAGTTTATGAATTACTTTTTAGAAATTGAAATGTGTTTGCAAAATCTTTTGTTTAACGACAACAAAGCATCGTTAAGAAGTGCATGGAATAAAAAAAGTAAAAAATTTTTTTTTACTAACAACTAAATCCGAAAAATGGAAAATTAGTTAATTGGAATAAAATAAAATATAGAGATAATGTAACATCTCTATAAATTTAAACTAGTAAAAATGTTTACTAATTTTAATTAGTGACTGACTTTACGGTTTGAAGTTAGTAAATTTTACTAATAAACAATTATTTCTATTAATTTATTGGTAAAATTTACTAATCAAAAAGCAAAAATTGAGTCACTGATTTAAATTATAAAAACATTTTTACTAATTCAAATGTAGAGAGATGAAAAATATATAACCGAAGTAATAAAAAAAATAAAAAAATAATATAACAGAAATAATATAATACAGAAAATAATATAATGTAAAAATAATAAAATGTACAAAATAATATAAAACAAAAAACTGGAACAGAAATAATATAATTAAAAAAAAAATAACAGAATTTAGAAACAATAAATTTCTAACTGTATTTAAATTCAATAAGTATAATTCAATATTATAATTAATAATATTAGCCCTAAACTAAATAATTTGGTAATTAATATTAACATAAAATATCAATTTGTTACTTTGTATTATGTCAATATACATTATTTAATATTAATAAGATTATGTAAAGTATAAATAAGAGCAAAATTAATATTATCACGAAATGTGTGACAGTTTTTGTCTAATGTCTCAACAAAATATTTCCGCGATCGATTTTTCAATTATAACGACAATTTAATTACTCTTGCCCTGTGCGTGTTTTAAAAACAAGAAAAATATTTCAAAGGCTTTAGTATTCAACCTTGAACTTAATTTTCTTCTAAAATTTTAATTACACTTTTATTTCACATCATGAATTCATTCTATCACCAGATTTGTTATATATTTTTAATGTTAGATTTGTCAAGTAAAATTAATTTGTAAATATATTAATATTAATAAATAGTAATTAGATAACAAATATATTTTATGCAAATTCTAATTTCTTATAGATTTTTACAAACATTTTTTTAAACAATTGAATTCTGTTTGGAATTTTTTTTTTAAATACTTAAGTTTTACAAAGAATTCTATTAAAGTTCAATTAAAGTTCTATTAAAGTCTTTGTGGTATTTTATTAAATTTTTTTGAAAATAATTGAATTCCTAAATAGCATTTTATTATTTATGAAAATAATTGAATTCTTGCAAAAGATTTTGTTGGAATTTTTTTTAAATTGAATTATTGCGAAGAGATTTATTAAAAATTTGTAAATAATTGAATTCCTGTTCAATTTATTAATATTTTATGAAAATAATTAAAGTTTTGCGTAGTATTTTATTAATTTTTTTTTTTCAATAATTGAATATTCAATTGGAAAAATTTATTAAAATATTATAGATATTAAAAATCATTGAATTGAGGAAAATTTTTGAAAATAATTGAAATTTGGCCAAGAATTTTGTTAAAATTTTTTTAAAATAATTGAAAGTGAAAATTTATTACTTTTCAAAATAATTGAATTCTTGTGATCAATATTGTTATTTATGAAAATAATTGAATTTTACAAAGAATTTTATTAAAATGCCTAAAAATAATTGAATTTTTTGGATTAATTTTGTTATTTATCGACATAATTGAAATCTTTCGAAGAATTTTATGTGAATAATTGAATTCTTGAGAAGAATTTTATTAAAATCTAAAAAAATAATTGAATTATTTCAAAAAAAATTGATTAAAATTGTAGGTATTTAAAATAATTGATTTCTTTCGAACAATTTTATTAAAATATTTAAAAATAATTGAAATCCTGTGAAAATTTCTAAAATTTTTGTAAATAATTGAACTCTTTCCAAAGAGCAATTCCCGTAAAATTATATTAAAAATAATTGAAATCCTGCGATGAATTTTATTATTTATGAAATTAATTAAATAGTTGCTGAGAATTTTATTAAAAGTTTCAAAAATAATTGAATTCCTGCAAAGAATTTTATTATTTATGAAAATAATTGAATTCCTTCAAAGAATGTTATTATTTATGAAAATAATTGAATTATTGAGAAAAATTTTATTAAAAATATTAAATTTTATTTAAAAAAAATTGAATTTCTGTAAAAAATTTTTCTATTTTTGAAAATAATTGAATTCTTCATAAGAATTTTATAAACATTCTTTTGAAGAATTAATTTTTTCGAAAAATAATAAATATTATGAAAATTGTATTAAAAATAATTGAAATTCTTCGATGAGTTTTATTATTTATGAAAATAATTGAATTCTTGCTTAGAATTTTATCAAAATTTTTTTTAAAAAATTGAATTTCCATGAAAGTGTTATTATTAGTGAAAGTAATTGAATTATTGCGAAAGAATTGTATGAAAATTTTGTTAATTGATTTTTTCGAAATAATTGAATTGAAAATTTTACTAGAACGACAAAAATTCATGTACTCTATATGCTTTATTTCGTTTGTGAGAGAATTTTCATGCCGTCTAGGCGGCAATTTTGCGAACTGTATTGGCGCGAAATTCAAAAAAGAAAAAATTTAATCAGTAAATATTAATATGTTTATTTATTTTTTTTTATTTTATTTATAATATATTAATAATATTTGTGCCCTGACCTTGTGAAAAGGACTTTAACGTCAAAATAATAATTAAAATTTGTTTAATAAAATATTTTAAAATAACTGAAAATTATCGATAAAATATTATTTTCTTTTCTTATTGCAATGAACTTTTTCTCCTTTCTAGTTCCGTTTGTAGACAATTATTTAAAATATTATAAAAAACATGTTATAACTTTTTTTTTCGCATGTAAATTATTTATTTCTGTGATAAGCATCAAGAAACATTTCCTTCCCATCTGAAGGTGTCCAGATGAATTATTAGTGTTCTTTGCACGATACTACGCATCCGGGATCGATTTCAAGATTGAAAACAGTGGACGTGTCTTGATTCGCGTCGATTACATTCAACATTGCTAAATTGAATGTGTCATGAACGTGCAACATTATTAAGCGGATATCCGATGTCAGGGTTCCGTTTTTTCATTTTAAAAATAACTTTCATTTTTTTTAAATTTATAAATAAATATATTTAATATTTAATAATATCATGAAGCTTTACAACATGATGCAGAATTATTCGGAACGAATTCAAGATCGTGTAAAAACATACTATTTGCCTCGCGTTTTGCAAAAAAAAAAAGAAAGAAAAGATAAAAATGTTTATAATAAAAAATTTGATAAAAAAATATCTGCAAGCGACAATTTTTTTTGTTCATTTCTACATTTTTTTAGTATAGAAAAAATATATTTTCTGTAAAAAAAATTTAGAAACAAAAAAAAAATAATAGGAAAAATATTATGAGTAAAACAAATAGAAAAAATAATTAATTATATCTATAAATAAATAAATGAGAATTAGAATTGTAAAAACTTTCTATTCAGAATGTATAATTAAAATTAAATTAATTGAAACGGAAAAATAAATAAATAAAAGTGAAAAAATCAAATGAATATACATCAATTTTTTCTTTCTTTTCTCTAATTTTATTTATTAATAATTATTAAAAAATATTTATTATTGTAATTTGCAATATTATTTATTTTATAACTAAAACGAAACAATTTTATGTCATCACAATCCATATACTCTTCTCACTTCATTTTGTTTGTGAGAGAATTTTCATGCCATCTGGGCGGCAATTTAATGTACTATTGGCGCGAAATTCAAAAAAGAGAAAAATTTGATTGTAAATAATGTATAATTTTCTTAAATGAATAAATAATTATAATTACCTGTAAGAAGATAATTGTAAAAATTTATATCTATCATTTACTAGAATTCATTAAAAAATTCTACAAAATAATTTTTGTAAAATTAGTAAAATTAGTAAAATTAGTAAATAAAATTTTCGACTGAGTAAATATTTATTTTTTACACGTTTTGTTAGAATGTAAGAAAATTATTTGTTAACAAATAAACATATGTAACAAGCACACATTTTTAAAATACGCGATAAAAATAAAATAAAGGGAAAAACAAAAAAAAAAGAAAAAATTTTAAATAAACAAAAAATTCATTTTTGCATTAAAATAAGAAATTTAGTTCTTGGAAAAAAAATTAAAGTTTAAGTAATATTTTTAATTGGAAACAAATTATACTACAGATATTTGAAATATAACTACATCTTTGACTTCAACAATTATTTTCTTTTCAATTTACAATATAAAAGATTATTTGCCCATTTAAAAATAATTACAACCTTGGACTGAACATAATTAACCAAACAATTCTCTAATCATTTTACTAAAATTATCCATTTTTTCCTTATTTCTTGGACTATATATATGAGAGAAAAGAAAAGTGCAGAATTTAAAAATAGAAAAAGTCTTCTTGAAAAATATAACAGTAATCCAAAAAATCCAATATGAAAGTATTAATTATTGCTTGTGTGACAATTTTGACCATTATTTCCATGGCTCAAAGCGCTACTAATAACGGTAAGTTTGTTGTATTTCTTTTTTTTTAATTAAAAAAAAAAATTTGCAATTTCTGTAAAATTGAATAGTTGCAAAAAATTTTATTAAAATTTTCAATTGAAATCCTGAGAAGAATTTTATTATTTATGAAAATAATTGAATTATTACGAAGAAATTTATAAATAAATTTGTAAACAATTGAATTCCTGTTAAATTTGTTATTATTTTATGAAAATTATTAAAATTTTGCGTAGTATTTTATTAATTTTTTTTTCAATAATTGAATTTCGGAGAAAAATTTAATTATTTTTAAAGAAGTTTGCAAATATTCCAAGTTCAAATAAAAATTTTTAAAAATAAAGTGATAAATTGATATTTAAAGTATAACATATGAAATATTTCTAAAATATTCTGCTACATTTGTTTCATATTTGATTAAAATTCTTATTCTTATAATTTAGTTCAACAAAATGCCGATGTTCCAACACCAGAGTAATATAAAGTAATCAACTTGAACGACAGCTGATGTATTGTGCAAAATGAATTGATTATTAATAAAGCTGATAAAAGTAAATTCAACAAAATATTTTTCTATTATTTCGAAACAAGATTTTAAATAATCTACCCAAGTGGGAAAATATTTTTTAAAAATTAATAAAAATACTAAAATTTGAAAAAAAAAATTTGTAAGTAATTATAATATCAAGAAATTCTATAGTGAATATAGATTTAATATTTACACCATTGTTATTTTCCAGATATTAATTAATTTTATATTATTAATATCAATATAATTACTGTTTAAACTTTTCCTTATTTGAATTTCGCGCCAATAAAGTTCGTCAAATTGCCGCCTAGATGGCATGAAAATTCTCTCACAAACGAAATAAAGCAAATGTAAAATTGTTTCGTTTCAGTTATTTTTAATGGATAAAATTAAAAAAAAATAAAGTGGGGGAAAAATAGATTATTCTATTTATATTAAAATTATTAATCCATTTTTTTTTACTTTTATATATTTATAGACATAATATATTATGAAAATAAAAAAAAAATCTCTTTGTTAACAAAAATTATAGATTACATAAGAACACGTAAAGAAAATAAATAAATACTAATAAAATTAAACAAAAAGAAAAAAAAATTAAAGTAAACAAAACTGTTTTTGTATTAATGTTATAAAATATTTTCAAAGTACAAAGAAAATTGTGAAAAAGTATAATATATATTTCTAGCAAAATCGCTAATTATTTAACGAACAATATACTCCAAGGTTTGTAATTATTTTCAATGGAGCAAATAAATTTCATTTTTAAAATGAAAAAGAAAATAATAAGTTATATTTAAAATTACACTTTTTTTCTTATCTCTTGGACTTTATATATAAGAGAAAAACGTTCAGAGAATTAGAAGAGTAAAAGAGTTTTCGAAAAATACAACAATAATCAAAAAATTCAACATGAAAGTATTTATTATTGCTTGTGTGACAATTTTGACCATTATCTCAATGGCTCAAAATGTTGTTGCTAATAATGGTAAGTTTATTGTTATTTTTTTCAAAGTAAAAAAAATTTTATTTCACGTTCAAAAGTATACACAGTAAAGTAAAAAATTTAATTATTTTTCTTTCTATGATATAGCTCAAGCCCCGAACTATCAACAACAGAATAAAAAATAACATAATCAACGACAATTTATGTGTCATTTAAAATGAATTGATTATTAATAAAAAGTTATAACATCAAATAATAAAACATTTCTATTTTATTCAAAACTCATGAACCTTATTCTGTTTCTGTAATTTCTTTGCCTATTTTACAATATTTCCAAAGCTTATTTTTTTTAAATTTATTGTTTTGGTCATTTATTATTTGTTTTACAATAAAATTTTAAAAAAAGACGTATTATGAAATTTTTCTTCGTTTTTTTAGATCAACTTTTTTTCTAAAAAAAAATAGTGATTCTTAATTTTCAAGCAAGCTTTTGAGGAAAAGTTATTAAAGTTTTTTTATTTAAAGACAAGTATGTAAAGTAAAAAATTTGCTACTTTAGACAAAAATATTGTTTCAATATTCAGTTTTTAAAAACAACAAAGTTATGCACGAATTAACAAAAAATGTTCATATGAATTGAATGTATCACTGCTTCCCAAAGGGTTAAATATTGATTAATTCTTGTATCAAGTTGATGTTAATATTTTCTGATTAATTCATTAATTTGCATTTTTGGTACCTAATTCTAATTTCAATTTTATCATAAAAGTTGAAAAAAAATAGGAATTTTAAATCTAAAATTTAAAAGTTCAAATATTTTTATACCTATATAGAAATTAAAATATTGATACCTATAATAATCATTTTCATTCTACTTCCCCAGTAGCAGTATGTTCCAGTAACATTGTACACATTGAATAAGTAAAGTGTATTTGAAGAGCCCAAAAATAATGAAGCTATAAATGCCATAAAACAGAAGAACAAATATTGAATTTTAAGAAATTCGGTTTTTTGAATTTTTGATAATTTTTAATAATTTGAAATGTTTAACCAAAGGACTGAGATAAAAATTTGGGTAAAGTGTTTTTGAAGAGCACAAAAATAATGAAGCAAAATGAAATAAATCAGAAGAAAAAATGTTGAATTTTAAAAAATTCGGTTTTTTGAATTTTTGCTAATTTTCCACAATTTTAGATTTTTTACCAAAAGGTGAAGACTATTAAATAAGTAAAGTATTTTGGAAGAGCACAAAAATAATGAAGCTAAATGCCATAAAAAAGAAGGAAAAATGTTGAATTTTAAGAAATTCGGTGTTTTAAATTTTTGATAATTTTTAATAATTTTAAATTTTTAACAAAAAGACTGAGATAAAAATTTGGGTAAAGTGTTTTTGAAGAGCCCAAAAATAATGAAGCTAAATGCCATAAAACAGAAGAAAAAATGTTGAATTTTAAAAAATTCGGTTTTTTGAATTTTTGATAATTTTTAATATTTTAATAATTTTAAATTTTTAACCAAAGGGTGGAGACTATTAAATAATTAAAGTATTTTTGAAGAGCCCAAAAAAAAATGAAGGTAAATGCCATAAAAGAGAAGAAAAATTGCTGAATTTTAAGAAAATCGGTTTTTTGAATTTTTGCTAATTTTTAATAATTTCAAATTTTTTACCAAAGAGTGGAGACTATTGAGTAAGTAGAGTATTTTTCAAGAGCACAAAAATATTGAAGCTAAATGCTATAAAAAAGAAGGAAAAATGTTAAATTTTAAGAAAATCGGTTTTTTGAATTTTTGCTAATTTTCCATAATTTTAGATTTTTTACCAAAGGGTGGAGACTATTGAGTAAGTAAAGTATTTTTTAAAAGCACAAAAATAATGAAGCTAAATGCCATAAATGAGAAGAAAAAATGTTGAATTTTAAAAAATTCGGTTTTTTGAATTTTTGATAATTTTTAATATTTTAATAATTTTAAATTTTTAACCAAAGGGTGGAGACTATTAAATAATTAAAGTATTTTTGAAGAGCCCAAAAAAAAATGAAGGTAAATGCCATAAAAGAGAAGAAAAATTGCTGAATTTTAAGAAAATCGGTTTTTTGAATTTTTGCTAATTTTTAATAATTTCAAATTTTTTACCAAAGAGTGGAGACTATTGAGTAAGTAGAGTATTTTTCAAGAGCACAAAAATATTGAAGCTAAATGCTATAAAAAAGAAGGAAAAATGTTAAATTTTAAGAAAATCGGTTTTTTGAATTTTTGCTAATTTTCCATAATTTTAGATTTTTTACCAAAAGGTGGAGACTATTCAATTATTAAAGTATTTTTGAAGAGCCCAAAAATAATGAAGCTATATGCCATAAAAGAGAAGAAAAATTGCTGAATTTTAAGAAATTCGGTGTTTTAATTTTTTGATAATTTTTAATAATTTTTTATTTTTTAACTATTCAATTGTGGTGGAGACTATTCAAATAGTAATATTTTCATTATATTTTAATATCACAGCTAGTAATAAATATTATGAAAACTTTATTTTAAATAATTGAATTCTTGTGTAAAACTTTATTTGTGAAAATAATTGAATTTTTCGATTAATTAATTTTAAATAGTTTTAAAAATAATTGAAATTCTTCATTAAGTTTTATTATTCATGAAGATATTTGAATTCTTGCTATTTTATCAAACTTTTTTTTAAAAATTGAATTTCCATGAAAAATGGTATTATTAGTGAAAGTAATTGAATTATTGTTAAGAATTGTATAAAAATTTCGTTAAATAATTGATTTTTTCGTAATTTTTTTGATAATGCTTTTAAAGTAATTGAATTCTTGTGGAAATTTTATTATTTATGAAAGTAATTGAATATTTTGAATGAATTTTATCAATTTAAAAGTTTGTAAAAATAATTGAATCATTTTAAAGAATTTGATTATAATTTTTTTAAAGTTTTTTGATTTCTAGTATTAGCCAATTTAAAGTATAGTGGAAATTGTAAAAAAGAACAGAAATATTAGCTTTAAGTGAATGAAATATAAAAAAGTACCCAAATATTAACGTAAAAAAGTACTAAATAGTATAGGGTTTTACTAGATGAGTTCGAAGCCTAATGCTTGATGCTTGGGCTTGATAGAAAAAAATATTTAATGTTAAAAATTTAATTTCCAAACTGAAGTGGGTACCAGTTTGAACTCCATATGAAAAGTGTTTTTGTACTTTATTAAAACCCGTAAAGAATTTTCCCTCTGGAATAGCGATATTCTCGCTCTACTCCTCAAAAGAGCATAAAATTTAGCAAGAAGAATATACTTGAACCCACATAGTGGGTTTCTCTCGCGGTTTACGATTAGTCGCGCGCGTTTAATATTATACGAAACGAAATAATACTCACACACATAACAGATAAATGTAAATGTAAATGTAAATGTAAAATTTATAAATGTATGTTGTATAGTGAAGAGATAAAACATTGCGGTGTTGGTACTCTTTACATTTTCTACTAGCCTGGTATAACGTCGATCAAGACGTTTGCGCAAATCGCGTGTTGCGGGCACGCGTACTGAGGGGCTTTTCAGAATATCTCTTTGTCTGACCGTCTTTCACATGAGATGGCAAAACAAAACTTGTTGGTACAATGACCGAGAATCGGCACCGTAAACTAACCGTATAAGATAATCACGATAATCATCAGGTATAATCGCAACAAAAATTCCTGTTACTTTTTTTTTCTCTTCTCTTCACTTCTCTTCTCTCTTCTTCTGTTTTTTTGTTTCATTTTTTCGAAAAAAAAGGTCAGTCCAACAGAAACATCTTTTATACGCTCGCACAAGTTTATTGTCTTTTTATGAGAGCTAAACACCTTCTTAAACATGCCTCACACATATCTTGTTTATAGTGTGAAAATTCTCGAGATTTTCATTTAAACTTCATTATATCTTCTCTTTTACTGTGTTTTAAACAGAATTTTTTATAATTTTCAAAAATTCTTCTTTATTAAAATAAAAATTAGTTTTATTTATTTATGAAAATAATTGAATTATTATAAAAAAATTTCTAAATAATTGAATTCTTGTAAAATTTTTATTATTTAAGAAA